ACTTCAAATTGATGGGGAAAACATCACTTACCAGGTTCATCATAAACAAATCCAACATCGATCTGAGAAAAAATAATTTTAAATAGTTTAAGTAGATTTTAAAATCAGTCTAGTCATTTTAAGGAAACCATCATTATTAAATTTAAATATGATACTCCTGATTACACTTAATTTTCCTCGAGACCCAACATTTCCATCTTCCCTCTCCAATCCCACTCAGTGCCTTGATGTGCGGCACATAGAAGACTCTCAATCAATCACCGTGGAATGAATGAGCTAATCTTAGAGCTGGAAGGGACTGTGGAAGTCGTAGGGTGACCAAAGTGCCCCAGTTTGCCTGCAACTCTCTGTTTTAGCACTGAAACTCTAAGACTTTCTAAGATGACCATTGGTCACCCTACAAGAATTCACCTGGCCCAACTTCTTACCCAATACTCCTCCTCCTCTTCTTCCTCCAACTAATGCTAATATTAATATAACCATTCATTGGGCTCTTCATTGCACCACATGCAGTGCTAGGTGCTTTACATATACCATCTCATTTAATCTTCACAATGACCCCATTTTATAGACAAAGAAACTAAGAACCATACAGGTTAAGTGAGTTCCCCTGGGACATGCGGCTAGACGTTGGCAGAAAGGGTATGAACACAGGTCTGCCTGACCCAGATCATCCTCTAGGACTTCTAGTGACTGGGGCTCTGTCCTTTAAGAGGCAGCCTATTCCATGCAGAATTGCTGGGAAGGAGCCAACCAAGTATCTGTTAATTGCAGTGGAGTTACTGAGAAGAGCACCTGATTCCCTTGCCTGGTTTGGTTTTCCTTTCACATTCCAGATTAACAATAATTGGCTTTGTAGATGGTGCTCTGGGGCCACTGGGAAGTAGAGCTGGATGGTGGACTTCTTGCCATAGTCAAGCACCCCTCCCCTTTGTAGCAGTGGATTTGCTTCCATCCACAGACAGGATGCTGGCAAGGGCCCTGATGTGGCAGCTTCAGGACATCTCACTTTGGGGCACAGTTCAGTGCTACACTTTGGAAGTACACAAGACCCAAGCAGCCTTTAGGCAAGGGTCATGGTGTCAATCCCTTACACATAATCCTGAAACGTCACCAGGATGGGTGCCCCGAGACTTGGCCAGGAATCAAATTCCCTATTATGGAAGTTCTCATCTTTATGTAAGTTGAACGAAGCAGACTGTTGTCACCTACCTTAAATTCCCCCATCAGACAATCTGCCCGCAAGGAATGGGAATTATAAACCTGGAAGAAAGAAGAGAGGTGAAGGGTGGCTGGCTGGTCCGGCACTCGGTGAGCAGTCCCTTCCTACTCGTGGCCCCTTACCCGGAGGCTGATGATTTCATCCATCAGTTCAGAAGGGGTCATGTGCACATTGTAGAAAAGTAACTGTCAAAACAACAAAGAAAGTGTTGCAATGTTAGTGTGGCATTCAGGTTTAATGGGATCTGATGCCATTAATTTTGAGGGCCCTCCTAAAGAAATACAAAGCACAAATTCAAAATTAGGTTTGCCTACGTGAATGCGTTACAGGGCTTTGGAAAAGGCCCTGAAGTTTATGCTTCATGGTAAACCCACTTCTGCATTTTGGAAAAGGAAAAGGGGGTAAGTAACAAATATACCGTTCATTTAACTAAATAAAAATTTTCATTTGGGACTAGATATTTACTGGCCAAATGAAGTAAAGATCTAAGGTTATTTCAAGTTGCAACTCTTACTAAAATGGGTACTTAAGGCTGGAGTGTTCGTTTAATTTTCTAACGTGTTTGGCTCTATCATTTGTGTCTAGTGATTCTAATTTACTCTTTCTAACAAAATACCTTCAAAGACAACTTTGCCCATTAAATTATGTTAATGCCCCAGCAGAATCAATACTGACAATATTTTAACTCATTGTAACAGCTAAGTTTAAGAAAAGAGATGAATATTAGGTACACAGAGGTTGTACCATGTCAGCCCAGTAAACGTTAATCCTAAGAGAAAAAGCTTGAGCATTTATTCAAATGGAGACTTTTTTCTCCAACTTTTTACTTAGAAATATTTCAAATCCACAGGAAAGTAGAAATCACGGTAAAATAAACACCATCTTTCCCTTATGTTCACCAATTGTTTCCATTCTGGGACACTTGCTTTATCTTTTTCTTTTTCTAACTGAACTATTGAAAAGAAAGTTCTAGAGATCATGACACTTCTTCACTCCTTGGANTTTCTAACTGAACTATTGAAAAGAAAGTTCTAGAGATCATGACACTTCTTCACTCCTTGGAGATATATCTGCATGCATCTCCTAAGAGCAAGGACATCTTCCTATATAATCACAATACTATTACTACACCCAAGAAATTTAACATCTAACATATAGCCAATTTTCAAATTTCTCTAACTATCCCAGAAAAAAAGTTCTTTAGGGCTTTTAAAAAAAAATCCACGTTCCTTGGGCCAGCCTGGTGGCGCACTCAGTAGAGTGCGGCGCTTGGGAGCATGGCGGCGCTCCCGCCGAGGGTTCGGATCCCATATAGAGACCGGTCCACTCACTGGTTGAGAGCGATGCGGGCGCGACACCGAGGGTTGCGGTCCCGTTGCCGGTCGCGGTACGGGCGCGACACCGAGGGTTGCGATCCCATTACTGGTCACGAAAAAAGACAAAAAGGAAAAAAAAAAAATCCAGGTTCCACACAAGGATCATACATTTGGTTGTTTTGTCTCTTCAGTTTCCTTTTACCTAGAACAGTGCAATTGCCTTTTTCATTTCTTGCTTTTTTCTATAAAGACCATTGCTTTGTAGAACAGCCCATGATCTGGATTTGTGTGACTGTTTCCTCGCTGTTGCATGCAGGTTGGCCATTTGACAAGACATGACCCAGGTGATGCTGCTGATTACTTCCATTACATCACATCAAGTCACCCATGCCCTTCTGCCCCATCATTGGCGATACTGAGTTTAATCACTTGGTTAAGGAAGATGTATGTAAACTAGAAATTTTTCAGTAAAATTCTTTTATTCATTTATCAATTAGTCTGTTTAGAGGCTCAATTATTTGATTATTCCCTTTTGCCAAGAAATCTAATCCCTCCAAAATTCACTAAAATGGGAAAATTCTGAGGAAGGTGGAGACTCCTGCTGGGCTCCTCAGGCTGTCAAGTAAACACGAGCCTGCACTGTGAATGCCCTGATGGGTCTTACGCCTCATGCCCCAAGTCACCCAGCACCTTGTCCTCTTTCCTGTCCAGGCTTGCCCTGCAACGTGACTCCCTCCCAGCCTTCCCTGAAGTCCACTTCAAGTGCCCCTTCTCAGTGGGCCCTTCCCTCTTGCGTGAGCTTTGATGCTACTTGGCCGCAGGCAGTCATCTGTGATCCATCTGGGGAGGGGAGGTTAGAGGTGAGAGGAAAGGGGGCTTTCTGCAATGCTGGGGTCAGCTTGAACAGAGGGGGAGAGACAGAAACACTGGACAGAAGACACCGACTTCTTTTGTGAATAGAGAGGTAGAAAAAAAAACCAAAGCCGAAGCTGAGGCCAGGATTAGAAGCTGTGGGGAACGCAGAGAGACTGTGAGAGAATGAGAGAGGCCCGAGGAATCTCAGAAACACATCTCCTCAGCAGAGTGAGGCCAGACTCTGAAAAATTCCCCCACTTATTTCTCCTCACAGCCCAGCTGTGGAGTTTCGTGGCATTTGCCATGACTGTCAAGGTATCAGTATTTTCGAGGAGCAACAGAACCAGGCTGCATTCTCAGTGTGTGTGTGGGGGGGGAGCTCTGTATGCTCATAATTGCTTCCCTTTAACCTGTATTATTTTTATAATCAAGTAAATTTTAACACCTCTAAAAATTTGGATTACTTAGTCACACAGTCATTCGTCTGAGACATCCTGCTAATTAGATGTCGGTGACATCATGTGCTCTATCATAAGAGCTCCATCAGGAAGTTGTTGCAAAAACACCAGAAAGACACCAGCAGCTCTGAGAACCAATGAGCAGGAATCAGAGGATTTCCAGCCCCAGTGGTTCCTAACCTCGTATGTTCACGCCGCTTTACCAGCATCGCCAGGCTGTTACCACTAGTTCGCTCGTGCGTTCCCCTCCCCACAGGACTCTCTGAGCAGGAACTTGCATTCTCTGCCGCTTACCTCATCAAAAAATGGATTGTTCCCTCTCTTGATCCTTGTTCGGTGTGTCTGGCCACAGACGTGGACCTTGACCACAGGCCTTATGTTGTTGCCACTTAATTGTCGGCCTTCAATCACTCTGATCCGGATCTGCAAGCACAGAAGGGGTGTTGTTACTGACCCTTTCCCAGCGTGGGTGTAAAAGAATCCTCAGGTGCTTTTACAGTTCCTTAGCCTCCAAGGATCGCTGACACCAGGTCAGGGCAGCTCGGCAAGGCACTGGTGCTCACGGACTGGGAGGGGCCCCTGCGCTCATTCCCAAGATGGGAACGGGGATTGGGATGTAGAAACCAAGAGCAGTCGTGGGAATGAAATAGTGCCCAGCTGGCCTGGGAAAGGGCAGGGAAGGGCTGGGGTCGCTGCTCAGGCTCCAGCCCCTCCACTGGTCTTCCTGAGCCCAATGGTACAAGGACTCATTCCACAGCCATCTCCCAAGTCTAAGGTAGTACCCAGAGCTATGCAAAATGCAGGATCTGTGCTTCTAGTCTTGGATGAGCTCTTTCCTACCACCAAAGAAAAGGAAAGTTCTAGTTTTATTTCTCTGAAGAAATTCCCTTGGTTTGACTAAACCCATTTCCGCATGCAGAGGAAAGATGGAGAACTCTTCCTGCTGGGTTTATGCACTGACATCCTTTTGCACCAATGGAGCCATCACCCATAGGAATAGGTCAATGTAACATTGCCACAGTGGTCAGAAGATGGGCACGGCAGTGGTTAAGCAAGGACACAGGCACCTGGGCTCTTTCTACCTGGAAGTCCTGTGGCTTGTTGGGCAGTGTCCGCCGGCGGTTCTTTCCTTTGCTGAGCCTCCGAGCAAGCTGAGCTTCCGACACCGTCCCAACCGGCCGCCTGGGCCCAGGGTCCCTGACTGTACTGTCCAACCTGTCTTCATCACCTTCATCTTCTTCCTCTTCTCCTGAAATATCAAGAAAAAAGCCAGTTAGAGATGGCCCTAACCCTGTAAATGTCTGAACACTCAGGTCTCCAGGGCATGGAGAGTTTTGCCCACCATTATGTTCTAAGTGTTCCTCAGGTGGCAGGTGAAGGAGATGCTCTTGGTGACACTGGAGCAGCCAGTGGGCAGCACGGGAGGCACAGAGTGAGGAAGAGGCAACCACAAGGCAGTAAAAGGGCTGACCCAGTGTACAAATCACTTCACGATTGAGCCCAGGGTGCTCCTCCTTCTCACCACCCGTCCATTCATGCTTAGCCCATCTCAGCCTGGCTTCTGTCCTTCAGAGAGCAGCCAGGACCTCTTCTTGCTAATTCAGTGCCCTTTTCTGAATCCTCCTACTGGATCTTCCAAGGAATTGGACACTGGTGCTCACACATACCTCTCTGCATCATTGCAGTTCTCCTACTACTTTGACTAAACGTTTTTGGGTCCTTGCATGGGCCCCTGCTTTTGTCTCCTACTCACTGAGTGTGACTTTTCTGTCCTCTGCCCTCTGCGCCTTTGACTCAACACTCTGGATCCTCACTTCACACTTCCTTCAAGGAGCCACAGACCCACAGAATGTTAAGACTAGAAGGGATCTTAGAGATCTTCCTTCTAACCTACCCCTCTCCCCATTTTACAGATAGAAAAACTGAGGTCCAAGAAGCTAAAGCAACTTGCCCGTGTTAGATTATTAGGAGCTGAGCTAAAACCAGGACCAAGTCTTTGCCCTACCTCACTGGTTTAAAACTTAATCCAAAACCAAGTGCAAGTGAAGGAGATGCTGTCTTCCTAGTGCCTCAATATCACGAATACCACATGTTCTCACTCATAACTGGCTGCTAGGAATGAAGCAAGAAGAGGAGGGAGGAAGGGAAGGAGGAAGGAAGGAAGGAAGGAAGGAAGGAAGGAAGGAAGGAAGGAAGGAAGGAAGGAAGGAAGGAAGGAAGGAAGGAAGGAAGGAAGGAAAGACCACAACAATAAGTTGAACTTTCAGAAGGAGAGAAAAAACCTAAGGATGCTAGACATGGTGGGGAGGGAGGGAGAGGATTTGGGAAGTGATAATTTGGGTAAAGGGCATAAAGAAATATACAATTTGTAAGAATGAATATGCTAAAAATAAATTTTGAAAAAAAAAATTTTTTTTAATCTTTGTCAGGATACTGGGAAAACCCCAGAGAAGCCAAAGAAAGGCAACGACAACCTTTGTCCCCTGCAAGATGATCTGGGTCTCCTCTTCCCTACTCTTGAAGAGATTTCAAAAGAAGAGCTTGCCTGTTGCCTCTTTTAGGGCACCTGGATCCAAGCTCTAGGAATGTCCTTCCTCCTACTCTCCACCAGGTGAGTTCCCCTCCTCTTGAAAGTCTCAGATGAAATTTACTGTCTTCGCACGGGCCTTCCCCACCTCTCCCAGGTAGAGTTGGTCACACCCTCTCCTCCCCGCCTCGCACATTCTTTCTAATCTTCAGAACAGTCTTGCATCACTTGCTAACCCACAGTCCTCCCCCACTCCCAGACACTCTCCAGAAGCAGGGGTCTTGCCTTTTCTTCTTTGTATGCCTTACACAAATCCTGACACCTAGAAGGGGCTTGATAAGTGTGGAATGTGTAAACGAATGAGGTGGGGCTGGGATCCTGACCCCTGCATGTGCCTTCTGGAGTTCTTCAGCAGTTTGGCAAAGCCATGCAGTTCTCAGGAAAGAGTGCCCAGGCAGCTAAGGGGGGGTTTTCCCAACCTCGGCACCAGCCTCAGGGAAGCATAGAAGGTCAGGCCTCTCCTCTGCAAACCTGTTCTAGACTAAGCAATGGTTGGGGCAGATGGCTCTCAGGTTCCTCCAAACAACCAAGACTAAAGTCCTTCGATCATCCTGGGCCCAAGTGGGACTTCCTCCTTGCTATGGAATGTACCATTTGGGGTTGCTGGTTGTTTATAGCAGCAATCAGGAGAAAAAGTAGGGGTCAATCATACCCCTTTGCAGTGCTAGACTCTGGACAAACACTCATTAAGCTCTTGATGGATGCTCTAGAATCAGACTGCAGATAATGTAGAGCCAATTGCTTCTGGAAACACCTTCTGCTATTCAGACTTTAGGCTGAAGGGATGGATCAGAGGAAACCAGCATAAGCCATGGTAACAGCCAACATCTCTGCATAGTAGCAGAAGGATATCTGAGCAGGAAATCTCCCCTTTATGTGGCAGGAAACTGCGCAGAATTAAACAATGCTGTGCTAAGTGTTCTACAGAGAATGAGGGGCCCCTGAGGCCCTGCTGAACACACCCTTCTGTGCAAGCTGTTTCATTACCAAAATGTTAGTGGCTGTGCTGGCATGCCCTGTTAATGAGACCCAGGCATGAACTCGCTCCACAGCCAAGTGGATCTACGAAGAATGATTCTTTCATGCCCAAAGAGGGCAACACTAAGTTGGGAACCACTGAGTGAACAGGAGGCTGTTGGTGGTATTGGCTTCCCAGGGTTTTGGTAATAAAGTACTGCAAACTAGGTGGCCTCAAACAAAAGAAATTTATTCTCTGTTCCAAACCCTAAAAGTCCAAAATCAGTATGTTGGCAGCGATATGCTCCGTCTGAAGCCTCTAGGGAAGAATCCTTCCTTGCCTCTTCCCAGCTAGTGGCTCCTGGCAATCCTTAGCATGCCTTGGCTTGTAGCTGTATCATTCCAGTCTCTGGTGCTGTGGTCACACAGCCTTCTTCCCTATGTGTCTGCGCATCCTCACCTGGTGGAAGGGCAGCCATTGGATTTAGGGCCTGGCTTAATCCAATGTGATTCATCTTAACTAACTACTTCTGCCAAGACCCTATTTCCAAATAAGGTCACATTCTGAGGTTCCATGTAGACATGAATTTTTGTGGGACACTATTCAACCCACTAGAGAGGCCATCTCTTGTACCTTTCCAGTTTACTCCATCTATTAATCCAGCCACACAGACAGTCCCAATCTATTGACCACACTGCCTTCCCTGCCCCACACTTCCTTCATGTCTTTGATTTTTCTCCTAGCCCATGTTAGAGTCCCTGGTCTCACATTGCAATCTGTCCCCTATATGCCCCTCAATCCCTTCCATTCTCACTTCTTTGCACTCACCTGGCTCATTCGATGCTCCATGTACTCCACCTCTGCACCAGACAGCTGAACTTGACTGAGGAGAACATACACCTTACCGACTGGTACCACCTTAATTTCATGACCACAGTCCTGAAGTGGACTCACAGGGCTGCCTGGCCATCCTACCACATTTCCAAGGCATCTATTCCAAAGCTTTCCTGCATCCTGGTCTGAGACAGACACTAATTGGCCATGGTCAAATCACTTCACCCTTCTGAACTTACCCTATTTTGCATCTTGAAAGCTTCTAATACCCTCTCTATCTTTCTTATTGTCAACTAATGACCTTGCTTCCTATTTCATCGAGAAAATAGGCAATTGGAAGAGAATTTCCACATCCTTCCAACTTCAAATCAACCATCCCACCTGCATCTGTTCTCTGCCTGCTCTCCTGCTACAATTGCTAAACTGTCCATGCTCCTGACTTGAAGCCAACTCTTTCACATCTGCACGGATCCCACCTCCTCTTACTCAAGGATTTTGGTTCTGCAATTTCCGCCTCTATATCCACTTGTCAGTTTTCTCCTCTCTACTGGATCACTCCCATCAAAATATAAAGATGCTGAAATATCACCCACAATGTTTAAAAAACAAAACTTCCTTTGACTCCACAGCACACCCTATAGTTACTGCTCCATTTTCTTGCCCCTCTTTACAGCGAACTCCTCTGAATAATCATCTTTATTCATAATCTTCACTTCATCTCTTCTGATTCCCTCTTGAGCCCTCTCTAGTCAGGCCAAGGTCACCAAAGACCTTCATTTTGGGAAATCCAACAGTCCAGTCTCAGGTCTCCCCTTACTCAAACTCTCTAGAGCATTTGTTCGTTTAATCCCTGAACACTTTCTGCTCTTGGATTCAGCCTATTGGACCAAAGCCAGACTGCTACTCCTGGCACTTACAATTTGAAGTAATAACCAAAGAAACTTCTGTCATCCTGTCTTTTTACATTAACCTTGGCTTCCATTAGGCCATTTTAATAGAATCATAGAACTTCAGAGCTGGAGGAAACACTACATGTCATTTAGCCCAATCACCTGGTGTTGTGTAATTAAGAATTTGAGGCTCGGAGAGGTTAAGTAATATCCCTACTGTCACACAGCCTGATAGTGGGGCAAATGCTCAAATCCAGACCTGTTGACTCGCTACAGCTCAGGGTCCTCACTGTCCTTCTCTGGTTGTGACAAACTCATCACAGTTCCCTTGTATTAATGCCATCTGCCTCCCCAACAATTACCATGTCACTCAGTCAAATACTACCTAGCTTCTGATTGCACCCAACACTGACCTGTCTCCTTTCTGAATATCAGTAACTCACAACCCACACTTGGTTACAGTGATGCTTCAATTAACACTAGGAATGGTTCTCCATCCCAACTCTAGCAACTTAACAAAACAAGTCTTCATAATTCCTGAAAGGTATTGTTGTCCTCTTTCCAGAGGCTCAAAAGTGATATTTCTGTACACTGCCCCCATGTGGGTCACTTGTGATGACACTTTCCTACACTACTTCTGTTTACCTACCTGGTGCTGAAGAGCTGGCAGCCCTAGGAGACCTTATGATGCAGTCAAGTTTGCCTTTGGCGTCCCCTACTGTGTCTCTCCGCAGTAGGTATCAACCTCTCTCTTTCCTCCAGTTTCCTATACCCTTCTTCTCTAGCACTTCTCCATACCAAGCAGAAGAGAGTGGGCTATCAGTCACCCAGATCTCACCAGATCTGCAGGCCATCCCCTCCCATCTCCATCACCCCCATCTGTCTTTCTACGCCTTACCAAGCAAGGAGATCCTGTTCAAACTTCCCAGTAAAGGCAACTGCTAGGAATGGCCGAAGGACAGGACAGCTGCTCAGTCACC